AGAGACAGACACATGCCCTGGTGTAGAGACAGAGACAGACACATACCATGGTGTAAGAGAGGAACAGACACATACCCTGGTGTAGAGACAGAGAGAGACAGACACATGCCTAGTGTAGAGACAGAGAGACAGACACATGCCTGGTGTAGAGACAGAGAGACGAACACATGCCCTGGTGTAGAGACAGAGACAGACACATACCCTGGTGTAGAGAGAGAGAAACAGACAGACAGACAGACAGAGAGACACATGCCCTGGTGTAGAGACAGAGACAGACACATGCCCTGGTAGCAGAGACAGAGAGACAGACACATACCATGGTGTAGAGACAGAGAGACAGACACATACCCTGGTGTAGAGACAGAGACAGACACATGCCCTGGTGTAGAGACAGAGAGAGACAGACACATGCCCTGGTGTAGAGACAGAGAGACAGACACATGCCCTGGTGTAGAGACAGAGAGACAGACACATACCATGGTGTGAGAGAGAAACAGACACATGCCCTGGTGTAGAGACAGAGAGACAGACACATACCATGGTGTAGAGAGAGACAGACACACATACCATGGTGTAGAGAGAAAGAGACAGACACATGCCTGGTGTAGAGACAGAGAGAGACAGACACATGCCCTGGTGTAGAGACAGAGAGAGACAGACACATGCCCTGGTGTAGAGACAGAGAGAGACAGACACATGCCCTGGTGTAGAGACAGAGAGACAGACACATACTGGTGTAGAGACAGAGACAGACACACATACCCTGGTGTAGAGACAAGAGAGACAGACACATACCATGGTGTAGAGAGAGAGAGAGACAGACACATACCATGGTGTAGAGACAGAAGACAGACACATGCCCTGGTGTAGAGACAGAGAGACAGACACATGCCCTGGTGTGTAGAGACAGAGAGACAGACATGCCCTGGTGTAGAGAAATTGAACACATACCAAGTGTAGAGAGAGAGACAGACACATGCCCTGGGTGTAGAGACAGACAGAGAGACACATGCCCTGGTGTAGAGACAGAGGGCAGACACATGCCCTGGTGTAGAGACAGAGACAGACATACCCTGGTGTAGAGACAGAGAGACCAGACCCTTCATGGTGTAGAGAGAGAGACAGACACATACCATGAATTTGTAGAGAGAGACAGACACATGCCCTGGTGTAGGGAACAGAGACAGACACATGCCCTGGTGTAGAGACAGACAGGAGCATGCCCTGGTGGTGTAGAGACAGAGACAGACACATGCCCTGGGTGTAGAGACAGAGAGAGACAGACACATACCATGGTGTAGAGACAGAGAGAGACCAGACACATGCCCTGGTGTGAACAGAGAGACAGACACATGCCTGGTGTAGAGAGAGAGACAGACACATACCCTGGTGTAGAGACAGAGACAATTTTATGCCCTGGTGTAGAGAGAGAGACAGACCACATACCCTGGTGCTTGGGAGACAGACAGACCCATGCCCTGGTGTAGAGAGAGAGAGACAGACACATACCCTGATTGTAGAGACAGAGACAGACACATACCATGGTGTAGAGAGACCAGGAGGCAGACACATACCCTGGTGTAGAGACAGAGGAACAGGCCACATACCATGGTGTAGAGACAGAGGAACAGACACATACCCTGGTGTAGAGACAGAGAGACAGACACATACCCTGAATTGTAGAGAGAGAGAAAACAGACAGACAGACAGTTAGAGAGACACATGCCCTGGTGTAGAGACAGACAGAGAGACACATACCCTGGTGTAGAGAGAGAGAGAAACAGACAGACAGACAGACAGAGACACATACCCTGGTGTAGAGACAGAGACAGACACATACCTACAATTGTGAGAGAGAGAGAAACAGACAGACAGACAGACAGAGAGACACATGCCCTGGGTGTAGAGACAGACAGAGAGAGACACATACCCTGGTGTAGAGAGAAACAGACAGACAGACAGACAGAGAGGCCACATACCCTGGTGTAGAGACAGAGACAGACACATACCCCCTGGGTGTAGAGACAGAGGAACAGACACATACCCTGGTGTAGAGACAGAGAGACAGACACATACCTGGTGTAGAGACAGGGAACAGACACATGCCTGGGTGGCAGAGAGAGACAGACACATGCCCTGGTGTAGAGAGAGAAACAGACAGACAGACAGACAGAGACACATACCTGGTGTAGAGAAGAAACAGACAGACAGACAGACAGAGAGACACATGCCCTGGTGTAGAGACAGACAGAGACACATACCCTGGTGTAGAGACAGAGACAGACACATGCCTGGTGTAGAGAGAGAAACAGACAGACAGACAGACAGAGACACATGCCCCTGGTGTAGAGACAGACAGAGGAACACATACCCTGGGTAAGAGACAGAGAGACAGACACATGCCCTGGTGTAGAGACAGAGAGACAGACACATACCCTGGTGTAGAGACAGAGGAACAGACACATACCCTGGTGTAGAGACAGAGAGAGACAGACACATGCCCTGGTGTAGAGACAGAGAGACAGACACATACCCTGGTGTAGAGACAGAGAGACAGACACATACCCTGGTGTAGAGACAGAGAGACAGACACATGCCCTGGTGTAGAGACAGAGAGACAGACACATGCCCTGGTGTAGAGACAGAGAGACAGACACATACCCTGGTGTAGAGACAGAGAGACAGACACATACCCTGGTGTAGAGACAGAGAGACAGACACATGCCCTGGTGTAGAGACAGAGAGACAGACACATACCCTGGTGTAGAGACAGAGAGACAGACACATGCCTCTGGTGTAGAGACAGAGAGACAGACACATACCCTGGGTGTAGAGAGAGAAACAGACACATACCCTGGTGTAGAGACAGAGAGACAGACACATACCCTGGTGTAGAGACAGAGAGACAGACACATGCCCTGGTAGAGACAGAGAGACAGACACATACCCTGGGTGTAGAGACAGAGAGACAGACACACACCCTGTAGACAGAGAGACAGACACATACCCTGGTGTAGAGACAGAGAGACAGACACATAAATTCTGGTGTGTAGAGAGAGAGAAACAACAGACAGACAGACAGACAGAGAGACACATACCCTGTAGAGACAGACAGAGAGACACATACCCTGGTGTAGAGAGAGAGAAACAGACAGACAGACAGACAGAGAGACACACACCCTGGGTGTAGAGACAGAGACAGACACATGATCCTGGGGTAGAGACAGAGAGAGACAGACACATACCCTGGTGTAGAGACAGAGAGACAGACATATTCTGCAGGTGTAGAGAGAGAGAGAGAAACAGACAGGCAGACAGACACATGCCCTGGTGTAGAGCACAGAGACAGACACATGCCCTGGGTGTAGAGACAGAGAGACAGACACACACCCTGGTGTAGAGACAGAGAGACAGACACATACCATGGTGTAGAGACAGAGAGACAGACACATACCCTGGTGTAGAGACAGAGAGACAGACACATACCCCTGGTGTAGAGAGAGAAACAGACAGACAGAGCAGACACATGCCCTGGTGTAGAGACAGAGAGACAGACACATACCCTGGTGTAGAGACAGAGAGACAGACACATACCATGGTGTAGAGACAGAGAGACAGACACATACCCTGGTGTAGAGACAGAGAGACAGACACATACCATGGTGTAGAGAGAGAGAAACAGACAGACAGACAGACAGAGAGACACATACCCTGGTGTGGGGGGAGCGCAGCACGAGAGCATCACCGTCAATAGAAGGTCGTCCTCCGGGCCGTATCTGATCATTGACGAACTGGGCAGACTTGGGCACGTTGAGGGCCGACCTGATGCCCACTGCGTCTCCGTCCAGGTGCCCCGGGCCAGGCTTGGGCACGTGTGACGAGCAGTACACCTCCTTATCATCCTGACAGACAGACAAACACCACATGAAGCAACAGAGTTTAAGATAATGATGATAATAATAATAATAATAATAATAATAATAATAATAATAATAATAATAATAATAATAATAATAATAATAATAATAATACCAGGTAACTCAAGGGCCCCCCCCCCGTGGACAGTGAGGCGTGTGACCTTGGTGAGACCTCGTGTTATATGTCAAGGTCAGGACAGAAACACTTTTTGACCACCTACAGCGAGGAGGGGGAGGAGGGGAGGGAGGGGAGGGAGGGGAGGGGAGGAGGGGAGGGGAGGAGGGGAGGGGGGAGGGAGAGAGGGAGGGGAGGGAGGGGAGGGGTGGGAGGGAGGGAGGGAGGGAGGAGGGAGGGGAGGGGGGAGGGAGAGAGGGAGGGAGGGAGGGAGGGAGGAGGAGGGAGAGAGGGAGGAGGGAGGGAGGGAGGGGAGAGAGGGAGGGAGGAGGGAGGGAGGGAGGAGGGAGGGGAGGAGAGAGGGAGAGAGCAGGAAAAATAGAGGGGAGGGGGTGGTGGCCTACTGCCGTGGATGACGAGGAAAGACCTGTTGTGAAGGAGAACACACACACACACACACACACACACACACACACACACACACACACACACACACACACACACACACGTGAATATACCAGGATAAGATTAGGTCAGGCAGCACATACATACAGACAAAGTGAGAGAGAGAGAGAGAGAGAGAGAGAGAGAGAGAGAGAGAGGGCAGAGGTGGGTGGGAGAGGGTGGATGGGCGTTGGGTGGTGGTGAGGCTGAGTGATGCAAGAGCCAGCAGCCACCACAAATGGGACACTGACCACCCCTGACCCCTGACCACCACCCTGACCCCCTGACCCCCCCCCTTCCGTATTATTTCTGGTAACAGTCACAAAATATTAATAATAGCATTAACACTAATAATCATAAAAACGATAACACTAACACTAACCTAACACTAACCTAACCCAACACTAACCTAACACTAACCTAACCTAACCTAACCTAACCTAACCTAACCCAACACTAACTTAACACTAACCTAATATTAAGCAGTGACACTAAAATGTTCAATTAAACACTGACACTCATACAAATTCCCAAAGGTTCTTACGTTCAATTTCTCCCCAAGAACGTGTGGGAATGAGTCTGACCCAATCAGTAATTTTGATAATGCTTACAGATTAATCTTCTCGAGTTTTCTAGCTGACGTCACAGTGGCTAAGATCAATCAGAGAAAACCATACTAAAATTGAGAATATGGATTGGTGGAGGAGGCTGATGACGTTATGGTTAAAGACCAATCATCGAAAACCATGCCAAAATCGAGGCCGTGGATAGGTGGAGGAGGTTGATGACATTATGGTATTAGACCAATCAGCGAAAACCATACCAAAATCGAGGTCCGGATAGGTGGAGGAAGAGGATGACGTTATAAGAATGTGACGTCACGATCTGGGCGGCACGGGTGTGAGTGTTGACTAGTGGTAAATGACTGACAATAACAGTCACCCATGAGCTGTAGTGATTGCTGTCACGTCCTCCGTTCACACAATTTTTTAGAAAGTTTTAAAGGGAAGATTCGAGAGAGGAGATGTGGTGGGAGGGAGGGAGGGAAGAAAAGTGGAGGGAAAGAGATAGGAATGAAGAGAGAAGAAGAACATAAGAATGGAGGAAATTGCAGAGGGCCTATTGGCCCATACTAGGCAGTCCCGTTTACACCCAACCCCTATTGCTCATATATCCATCCAACCTGTGTTTGAAGCCATCCAGCGTATTCGAGTTAATGTTGAAGTTCGTTAACCTGTTCCACTCGTCCACTACTCTATTTCCAAACCAATGTTTACCTGCCTCGCGCCTAAATCTAAATTTGTCTAATTTAAAACCATTGCTACGAGTTCGCTCCTGGTTGGATAGTTAGAGTACCTTTATTATATCACCTTTGTTTAGCCGTGACTTCCATTTATACACCTCGATCATATCGCCCCTCACTCTACGTCTCTCAAGAGAGTGCAGATTAAGATGCTTTAACCTGTCTCTGTACTCAAGGTTCCTAATGCCCGGGATTAGTCTTGTCATTCTCCTCTGAATTCTTTCTAGGGATTCTATATCCATTCTGTAGTACGGTGACCAGAACTGAACTGTGTAATCCAGGTGAGGTCTCACAAGCGCAAGATATAGTTTTAGGATGACCTCGCTAGTCTTGTAACTAACACTCCTTTGTGTGAACCCAAGTACTTTATTAGCCTTGTTTCGAGCAAATACACATTGTTGACTTGGTTTAAGATTCCTACTTATCATTACGCCTAAATCTTTCTCACATTCGAATTTCTCAATAACATCGTTGTTCATCTGGTATCTGGTTTCTCTGTTTACATTTCCTAGACTAAGTACTTTACATTTGTCCACATTAAATTTAATTTGCCATTTTTCAGACCATTCGAAAAATTTGTTTAGATCTTCTGTAGTTTTGTGGAGTCCTCTCAGATTTAATTACACGCCCTATTTTAGTGTCATCAGCAAATTTACTGCTGTCTGCGCCTAAATTTCTGTCGTGTATGTGTAAAATAAATAGTAATGGTCCAAGTACTGAGCCTTGGGGTACTCCACTAGTGACGTTACCCCAATCGTATTAGTGCCGTTCATACTCACTCCCTGTTACCTGTCCTGTAACCACACTCTAATCCATTTTAGAATATCTCCTCTAATTCCATGAGCCTCCAGAAGGAGAGGAGGATCGAGAGAAAGAGGAGGGAGAGAAAGACCAGAGGGAGGGGAGATAGAAGATGAGACGGAGAGAGAGAGTATCAGATTTTGTGGAGGCCTGAAACACACCTACACAACACATCTGTAATTAACACAGCCACACCTGTAATTAACACAGCCACACCTACACAACACACCTCTAATTAGCACAGCCACACCTACACGATACACCTCTAATTAGCACAGATACACCGGCAGCCACACTCCCTGGCTTGTGATTGGTCAGCCACACTGACTCCCTGGCTTGTGATTGGCTGGTGCATGTGGAGATTCAGTAATGTTACCCCGTATACCAGAGTGAGTGCAGTTGTCCCTGTGTGTGTGGGCGGCTGGGGCGTGTCCTAAACCACTGACTTAATTACCAACTACGCCCATCTTTGTTCTCTGAAGGGGAGGGGGGCGTGGGAGTGTGAGGGGGTGCCCATTGGTCCTTATACAAACTACGCCCATATCTGTCCCTTGTGAGCGTGTGGTGGGGGAGTGGAGGGGTGTCCAGTGGTCCTGACACAAACTACGCCCATATCTGTCCAATGTGGGCGTGTGGTGGGGTGTCCAGCGGTCCTTATACAAACTATGCCCATCTCTCTCTCTCTCTCTCTCTCTCTCTCTCTCTCTCTCTCTCTCTCTCTCTCTCTCTCTCTCTCTCTCTCTCCATCGCTGTCACCATCACCAATACACTAAGTCAGTATTCACTCCCAGGCTAATGTTTTCCTTTCAGTTACTACACACACACACACACACACACACACACACACACACACACACACACGCGCCCTCATAGCACCATCTGTGAGGGAATTACTACACCACGTGAGGTCCCTCATAACACCATCTGTGGGGGAATTACACCACGTGAGGCCCTCTTAACACCATCTGTGAGGGAAATTACTACCACGTGAGGTCCCTCATAACACCATCTGTGAGGGAATTACTACACCACGTGTCCCTCATAACACCATCTGTGAAGGAATTACTACACCACGTCAGGCCCCTCATAACACCATCTGTGAGGGAATTACTACACCATGAGAGGCCCCTCATTACACCATCTGTGAGGGAATTACTACACCACGTGATGCCCCTCATAACACCATCTGTGAAGGAATTACTACACCACGTGAGGTCCCTCATAACACCATCTGTGAAGGAATTACTACACCACGTCAGGCCCCTCATAACACCATATGGGAGGGAACTACTACACCACGTGAGGTCCCTCATAACACCATCAGTGAAGGAATTACTACACCACGTCAGGCCCCTCATAACACAATATGGGAGGGAACTACTGCACCACGTGAGGTCCCTCATAACACCATCTGTGAGGGAGTTACTACACCACGTCAGGCCCCTCATAACACCATCTGTGAGGGAGCTACTACACCACGTGAGGTCCCTCCTAACACCATCTGGGAGGGAGTTACTATACTACGTGCTTGCTGTTCCACACCTCCATTAATCTGTATGTTCACTGTATGTTCCTTCACCTTTCTCTAATGAAGGCTTGTGTTAAACCACCAATGTATGTAATAAGTCATTTATGTCCAATGTATATTTTCAGCCTTCGGGCTGCAGATATTTTTCAATAAACCGTTAATTATTATTATTATTATTATTATTATTATTATTATTATTATTATTATTACACACACACACACACACACACACACACACACACACACACACACACACACAAACACACACACAACCTTGATGATGATGTCTGTCTGTCTGTCTGTCTGTCTGTCTGATCTTCAACAATCTTCAGATCGTTCAGTATGTAAAGTGAGTTTGTTTATACACTAGACAAAACATGTTAGGAATTATAATGAAGTGTATGCCTCAGTTGTAGATTGTGATGACTTAACCCCTAAAGTATAATGACTTAACTCTTGAGGATGATGAATTTACTTCCAGAATATGATGTCTTAGCCCCTATGGAGTATGATGACCAATGCCTTGAATACGATGGCTTAACCCTTGAGTATCATGAATTTACCCCCAGAATATGTTGTCTTAACCCATATGGAGTATGATGACTTATGCTTTGAGTACGATGATTTAAACACCAGAATATGATGACCCAACCTCTTAAGAATAATGACTTAAGCCCTTGAGCACGATAAATTAACCCCCAGAATATGATGACTTAACCCCTAGATTATGATGATTTAACTCTTTAATACCTAAAGTATGATGACTTAAACCATGAGTATAATGATTTAACTCC